GAGCTGTCAGTGATCTACAGCAAGTGGCTCCCTCTGCTGGACAATCTTGTTGTGGGGAAGTGGTTTTTCTGTCTGTGGCTATCAGGTTTCTCTCCAGCTACTGTTTAGCTGGTTATTCAGGATGATTTCTCGACAATTTAGTTGTAATTTCAGATTGGTCCTGGGAGGAGGTTAGTGTAGCTTCCACTCACTCTTCTGCCATCTGGGATCTCACCTTTTGCTCTTTTTCAAGATTGGTTTGTTTTTCAGAGCCTTTGTGGCTTAATACAAATTTTAGGGTAGTTTTCTTTTTCTGTTTTTGTTAAAAAGCCTTTGAACATTTGATAGGGATTCCACTCAATTATAGATAGCTTTGGGTAGTATGGCCATTTAAACAATATCAATCTTTTAATCCATGAACACAATATATCTTTTTATTTAATTGTATCTTCTTCAATTTCTTTCATCAATGTCTTATATATTCAGTGTACATGTTTTTCACCTTTGTGGTTAAATTTATTATTACATATTTTATGATTTTTGATACTACTGTACATAAGATTGCTTTCTTAATTTCTCTTCCAGATAGTGCATTGTTTAAGGTAGAGGAATGCATCTATTTTTTTAATGTCATTTTATATTCTGCAACTTTATTGAATTCATTCATTGGTTCTAACTTGTTTTGGTGGAATCTTCAGGGTATTTTTTATAAGGTTATGTCATCTGCAAACAGAGATGATTTTACCTTTTTCTTTCCAATTTAGATGCCTTTTATTTCCTTTTCTTGCCTAATTTTCCTGGCTAATATTTCCAGTGCTATGTTGAATAGAAGTGTTTTTGATCTTAGAGAAAAAGTTTTTAATTTTTCACTGTTGACTATGTTGTTAGCCATGGGCTTGTCATATATAACCTTTGTTTATTGAAGTATATTTTTTCTATACCAAATTTGTTTAGAATTTTTATTATAAAGGAGATTTAACTTTGTGAAATGCCCTTTTCACATCAATTAAGATGATTATAAATTCTTATCCTTCATTCTATTAATGTGATGTTTCACATTTATTGATTTATATATTTTGAAACATCCTTGCATTGCAGGAATAATCTCACTTGGTCACAGTGATTAATTCTTTTAATGTACTGTTGAATTCAGTTTGCTAATATTTTCTTGAGGATTTTACATCATGTTATTTTCCTGTAGCATCTTTGTCTGACATTAGTATCAGGTTAATGCTGGCCTTATAAATGAATATGGAAGTGTTACCTCTTTTTCAATTTGTTGGAAGAATTTGAGAAGTATTAATGTTAATTCTTTTAAGTTTTGTCAGCTGAGCTCAACAGTGGTAAAGACTGCAGGAATCCACACTTGCCAAAATTATGGAGGTCTTTGGTAACAGTTGTGAGTAGAATTAGTAAGATCCTCAGTGGCAAACGCTGCTGGTATTCTCCTAATTCTTTTTGTGCATGGGAAGAAGCTATAGCTTCGGGTATACTTCCTGGTACCAGGTTTGGTTCACTGAAACTCAATGTGGTAGCAAAGCCAGTGTCCAGGGTTCAGGTACACACGGAACTACCATAGCAGCTAGGTTGGGGCATAGGTGTATTTACTGCGGTAGTGGTATTAACTCTGAGGTGTGGGCATGTGCACACCTCCTGTGGAAATAGGATCTGGGTCTCTTGTGCTTGTTGCAGTGACTCAGGCCCAGAGGTGGGGGAAGAAGTTGGGAAACTCAGCAGCAGCATGGGCCCAGGGATGATAGGGTGCAGTGGTGACTTAGGTTCAAGAGGCAGGGTGTAGCAGTAGTATGCCCTGGGGATGGCATCATTAGGGCCAAGCTGCTGTTGTCCCATATCTGCCCCCCGGGGGGGCCAGGGTTGGGACTTTGTTGCATCCTAATGATGCTTAGACAAAACCCCAACTTGGGTACTAAGGGCAGAACACAAAGAAGCAGTGGTGTGGCCCCAGTGATGGTGGTTCAAAACCATGAGAAGGGCAGAGCAGTAACAACTCCAGTCCCATAGATGGCAAGGCACTGTGGTGTCCTAATTTCAAAGTGGCCAAAGCTGCAACTGGGGCCCCTGGAAACAGTGGGGCTCGCTTCAATGGCAGCTGTAGACTTGGAGAGGAGATGCAGCATCGGGAACTCAGAGCATCTCTGTCAGCTGGGTTCAGTACTAGAGAAGACTGTGGGGATTTGGTAACAAAGGCTGCAAATTCCCAGGGTGATGATAAGGCTTGATGGAGTTCTTCTTTTTTTTTCAGCCACTTGATGAAGTACCTCTGAGGGGATCCTTTTGAGAGATAAGCTGCTCCATACTAGCTGGTAAGGTGATGCAGGAGAAATGCTTTCTATTATTTTTCATGAAGCCATTCTTGGTATTTGAGGTCTGAAGGGTTTCTGCTATTTCTTCACTATAGTCCAGAACTTCCCCAGAACTATTTTCATCAGTTTACACTTGTTTTATTGTTTTTGTTGTTTCTATTGGGTAGACAGGCTGGGACCTCCAAGCTCACCATCTTGCTGACATCACAACTTCACATTCTACCCATTTTATAAATGTAAAACTTAGATTTTAAATAGTTGAGTAGCTTGCCCTAGGTCACAAGGGACAGAAAGCAGAGGCAGAACGTGAACTTTGTTCTATCTGACCAAGTCCTTTAGCCAGTATGTAATGTGAATTCAATTGAATCAAAACTAAGTGAAGGAGTTATAGAAAAGAACTCATAGTATCAATAAAAAGAATTATCTAATCAGAGATAGTGAAAAGGTTCTCTCAGTCCATCTCTCCACTGAAAGAGGAAGCCATTCTCCAATTATGTCTGAGGACTTTTGGCTAATAAGAGAACAGAAGAGAAAGAAGCCCCTCCCTCTCAAAGCTTGTATCATGTCTATTTTATTATCAACTCCTGTAATTTTTTTTCTTTTTGGACAACTCTGGCTCAGATTGTCACCTATCAGCTGAAGTGTAGCAATAATGCCATAAGCACTCTATCTTTTTCACCTCATGATGTTCTTTACTCCCATGCACTTCCATTTAGTTACCAGGAGAAAAGAACATTGTGTGTGCCCTTCCCCATGTGCAAGGACTTTCCATGACACCCATTACCTATGGAATAAATTCTAAACATTAACTTAACACTCAATTCCTATCAGAATCTATTATTATACTTTCAATATTATTTCTCACACACTTTTTTACAAATGCAAAGCACCAATAAAGTCAGTTACATGTGGTTTCCCATGGCTTGAGTTTTACTATTTCAGTAGTAGTGTTACCCTTTTGGTTTGGAAAGACTTCCTACACCACCCTATATGTTGAGCTCTGGCCTTTAATCTCAAATTCAAATGCCACATCATCTAAGAAGTTCTGCAATTCCAACAACTAGAAACTAGAAAATCTTCACTTTTCTCTGTGTTTGCCTATATTTTTATTTTTACTCTATTCCTACAATGCTGGACTTTCTATTAGAAGTTAGTGGTTCATATCTGGTAGCTCCTCTATTGTAGTCAAAGCTCTTTCAGGGCAATCTTTCTAAACGTACAAATTTGATCAAGCCAGTTCTCTGCTTAACATTCTTCATTGGCTACCCATTACCAACAGAACAAAATCTAAACTTAACATGACGTAGCTGCTTTCCATTAACTGTGCCACACTCTCCCTTCAGTCAAATCTCCCATGACTCTCACCTGCACCCTGCTTCTCAGTCATATCCATTGGCCGAAATGCATTTTTATAGACATTGCTGTTTCTTGATATTATTTATGGCTTTGAAATAGTAGCTCATATATCTTTCCACAGAATTGCATTGACCTGCACTATACCACAGGTGTGTCAAAACATGTGAAAGGTTGAAGCAGAGCTATGCAAATTGAGAAAAATAGAAAGAGTCCATCATAACAAAATGTCTCTTAACTGTATGGGAAATGCTGACATAAGTTACTAAGCAGTCCAGTGAGGCCAGGCTAGACTGAATCTTTAGGGTATGAGGGGCCCAAGTACTATGAGGGAAATGAGAGCATTTCCCATGTTGTTTGGTGGTCTTCCTGCTACTGTGTTTCTGAGTTATATAGGTATGGAACGACTCAACATAAGCTAATTTGCTTATCTCTTACCAACCAAAATCCCTGGCTTCTATAAAAATTATCTCAGCATTTGCCTTAACTGAAATCATTGATTTTAATTAAACACTATGATTACCTTCTGTCAGCCATGAGAAAAACCTATATTAATATGCAGCATGAAAACTCACCAGCCCACATACACCAATTGTCCTCGACTGAGTAAATGATGAGCTTAGATAACTGTCAGCTAGCAGAAAAACCTGGGGTGAAAGATATTGTCTAGGTGTTGAGGAGTTAAAAGACTGGGAGTCTGTGAACTGTGAGCAGTTGGGGAAAGTTGGACTTGGAGAGATGGGGGAAGGTATGTTATATGAAATGCATGACAGTGATAACAGTAGTTGACATTTGTTGAAGGCTTATAATGTGCAAGACCTAAGGGATTTACATGAACAATGAACTCACTTAATCATCACAGCAGCCCTATGAGGAGAAAATATTGTCCCCACTTTAACCAATAAAGAAAATGGTTCACAGAACAATTAAGGTCTTGACCAAATTTACCCAGCTAGCCAGGATTCAAACCCAGGCCATCTGGCTTCATGCCCTGATCTCAACTACAACTGTATTTGAGAAACTAGGGGCCTCTGGAGAGAGATTTAACCTACTAGATTAAACAAGCCAATTAATCCAAGCAGCATTTGTTGTATGTGTAATTGAAGAATGACATACATGAGAGAGAGAAGGCATTGATGAAGACAGTAGGGCGGTATAGCATCAGAGTGAGCCCCTGAACCCTGCTGGTAAAATTGCACCTCATCAGTAAACCTATATGGGTACCTCCAGCACCAGTGATAGTCTCAGAGGTTTATAAAATGTCATCTGATTTTCTTCTGTTGAAACCATTGGGAATAGAGCTAGCTTTGGCATCTACAGAATTAAACTTGGGAAGTCACATACCTTGACTGCTTCTCTGGAAAGAGTTGTTAATTTTCTCATAGGACTTTGGGTGTATTGCACTGTAGTGACTGGAGCCAATGCAAAAAATATTTTAATCCTTTTAGCCAGCTCTGGATTTGTAGAGAATGCTATGAAAGCTGAAAGGGAAGAAAACACTAGTTTATAGACTTAAAAACAATTCCTAATCATTTTAAAACATAGAAAAATAGTTGTATTAAAACCAGCAATGGAAATGAGAAGTAATTCAGAGTAAGCACAATTTGTAGAGAAGGATTTTCTAAATTTCTCAAGAACGGAACTGGCTAATTCAGAAGAAAGCGCTTCCTGTCCTTGGAGGGTACAAGAGCTACAGAGAGGGTTCGCATGGCCCTTGTAGGGCACGTGGAGGTAAGCTCCTTGCTCAACCACCTCTTTGGTATCAGACAAAACCAGACTTTAATTTTGGCTTACATTCACTAGCTATATAAAGACTTGAGCAAGTTAACTATGTGAATCTCAGTTTTTGCAATCTGTAAATGTGGATAAAGAACTTTATAGGATGATTCTTTTGAAGGTTAAAATATACATATATAAAGCTTAAGGTATTATTTGGCAGTATCACCCTTAGAAAGGATTTCTAAATTCAGCCATTTATAAAATATGGATGATAATGGTCTCACACATTTGTACTTTCCAACTCGAGAATGCATGTAAGATGGCTGGTATAGTACAGGCATATAAAATCCAGCTTTATACTAGAAACTTAATTAGAATTAGGATACAGAAAAGAGACTGGTGGAAATGCTGCTGACATTGTTGAGGCCAGCGGCAGGAGGAGGAGCCGTGAAGGAAGTGAAGTGCCTCATGGTATTGTCCACAGACCCCCCTCTCCATCCAGCCCACCCCAGCACATGCTGGGAAGTGAACAGCATGCTGCTCACGACATATGACCAGTGGGATTTGTAATTATCAGTTTTCTTTTCAGTGTCTTCACTAGACTGTGAGCTCTTTAAAGGAAAAGTGTCTACCATATTTACCTCTGCTTCCCCAGCATATAACCCAGTGTCTGAAAAATGTTTCTAGAATAATTCTCTCTCCTTATGGCTTATTTATCAATCTCCAGATTTAGTTCTATGGGGGGGGGAATCCTTGCTGTTTTTCTCCTTTTTTTTACTCTTCACAAATCAGACAGAGAAAATGGCTTTCCAACTCAAGTTCCCGAGCTAGAGACATCACAGAGGGAAGAAATCCTGACCCCTTTCATGAATAGGGAAGAAGATCCTCTGCCACTCTCAGGTCACACCTGCCCCAAACACACCGATGGTGGTGCCCTGGGAGTGGCCCACATAGTAGAGTCGTTCCTGTCCAGTTTCTTCTACAATAAAATTGATTGTGGCTGGAAGGTCATATTTAGCCATCTCATCCAAACTGCCAGAGGAAAAAGAACAACAAAATTGGAAAAGATATCACTGTTAGGCTTGCAATATTCAAACACATTCATTGCAGACATAGATACTTAGCTTTTGTTAAATCTAAGAGTAGAGTCAATACATGATATTATGGGTTTCTGGGACTTTTGAGGATGGAAGTTACCTCGATTGCACATTGTTAAGAAATTGGAATTAGAAAAATCTGAGTTACAAAAGCCTATACTTTTCCTGAAAGATTAGTCATATATTTCACTTAATTCTATGTCAGATTACCAAACTCCCTTTAAAAAGAACAATTACCTAAAATGTAAGATACAGGATCTTGCAGAAGTAAGGCCAGCTTGAGTGTGGCTAGTAGGGTAATAACATGGGTTTAATAATTTATTGTTTTAATTTGAACATTTCACCTAAAATGTCATATGATGTACTTGAGTGTGGTATTGTTATGTTACAGAATTACAGGCTTACGATTTTGTAATAAAAATGTGCATTATTTGTTCCAGATTTAAAAAAAAACAATAAAGAAAACAGATTTATAGTCTTTGGCCCAGAAAGACTGAATCAGGGAAGACACCTGGGAATCTGAATATTTATCAATCACTTCAGATGCTTCTTTTTGTGTGTGCATTTGTATGTGTAGCTGGGAAAACACTCATCTAGGGAATCATCATGTTATTTGCAATAGTACAGTGACACAGTTGCACTGGGGTGTGCAATTAGGAAATACCAAGTGGCTTCCAGGAATAAGGCGGAAACGAGGTCAGAGAACAAACGGCTCTCGTGGTCTTCAAGGTATGGTTCTAAGTGCCTCTGCAAGTGCAGGGGTTGGTCCCAAGGACTGAGCGGGCTTGGCTTCCAGAGCCAACAGTGCCCCAGGGAAGGCTGGTGGGAACACTCTGCTCTTTGATCATCCCACAATCAGGCTTTCTCCTTATTGCCCCCAAAATCTACTGCCTGGGGCAGAGTTCAATACTGCCCCCTATGGAGGACAGTTTTTTCACCAGTCAGCAAAACATTTGAGTGTCATCTACACACAGGATTAAGCTCACCCTTGGCGTATCATGAATGTTTGGTTCTCAGGATTTTCAACGAGAACCTGTTTCTTGTCCCAGTTCTCAATCAGCTTCATTTTTCCTCTTTCATAAGAGTACCATGTCGGCTTCTTTTGGAGTCCACGTGGATGAAGGGATAGTCTTGGAATTAACCTTTTCCTGAGGCTGACCTTTGCATTTTGATTTTTTTGCATATATACTTTGCATATGAACATGCACGTACCTGTTTACCCCCACCCCCACACACCAGCAAGTGGGGTGTTAGAGACAAACATCAATGCAATAATAAGGGCATTTTTTCAGAGCCAGTGAAGAAAGCCTAGGTAAAGGAGAAAATGTTTGTTTCCTCCTTGTGGATTTCACTGGATGCATTTGGACAGAAAGGGAAAAACTGAAGTGTTCATTCATATATATGAGCCAAGTACACATTTTACTCATTACTATGTATCTCTTTACCTGAAGGCCCAGAATTCTGGTGATGTGGGTGAAAATTTCAAGTGTTTTCTGGACCAGGTATTGCCCCGGCTGTTCCCCATCCACACATCATAACCTCTGTCTGCCAGAAGGAAAGCCAAGCTGTTGTTGGGCAGGTTGCAAATCCAGTTAGTTGCAGATGCAATTAAGCCATGTTGCAAATAAACAACAGGCCTTGGAGCTGCAAAACATAGGCAATGAGAATTGTAAGTCTACTTCCTCGGTGTCCGCAAGAGAATTCTCTTTCCTGACTTCCTGTAGTATAGAAGAGAGGTTAAGAGATGAAATTTGGCACTAGCCAAACCTAGGTTCAAGTCCTTTCTGAACCACTTACTTGGGCAAGTTATCTATCTTCTCTATGTCTTGTTTTTCTTATTGTAAAATTTAAATTATATATAATGTATTGTGTTGTTCTGTAGATGCTGGAGTCAGATTGTCCTGGTTCAAAATCTAATCTACTATGGATTAACGCTTTTGTGGTTATCTCAGCTCATTTACCTGCATAAAGGGTAATAATGACATGCTGTCTCATAGTAGAGTCATAAGAATTAATTAGAATTAAATACATAAAAGAGTGTCCAGGACAAGAAATATTTGCTTTATTATTATTTATATTAATGACATTTTATTTCTCAAGAAGTAACTGATAATAAAACTAACTTTTTCTCCAAATAATAACAAAAACCATAAAAATGCCATTTGTTGAATACCAGGCATTATGCTAGATATCATATACACTGCTTAATTTAATTTGTTCTTTCAGAAAGCAAAATTTAAAGATTTATGTGAAATGTTATGCCATGTAAAATCATTCATTTAGTATAAAAATCCTATTCATAATGTAAAATTGGAACAATCTGACTAAGAAAGAGAAAAAAGGAAGTGGGGAAATGGTGTGAAAACTCCAAGAGAGAGAAGTGACCAGGGTTTTTTTTAAAATAAACGGTTTGGAATGCCCTGTTGCTACCTCAGGACTCTCCCTCAGGTCACTTTTGGTGCTACACCAGCTTTCCAACACTGGGTAGGCTAGACCGGACTCTCAGAGAGCCTTCAGCCATCTGGAAATCCAATGGACCAAGCAAGGAGCTGTGTCCATTTACCCAGCTTTTCAGAAGACAGAAGGAGGAGGTATTACTAATCCCGCAAACGGCAGTCATAGTCCCTCTCTGATCTGAGCCCTCAGGCAGCTTCTCATTGTGGAGACGGCTTTCCATATCAAGTATTTTGCCAGCTTCCTGGCAGAGATCATGAGATAAAAGATTGTGGAAACAAAGTTCTTGTGAGTATTTATAAAGAAAATAGATTTATTTGGGGGGAATGGATGTTTCTATTAAGTCATCACCATTTCATCACTCCTTCTTTTTTCAGTTGAGATTTTTCTTTAAATAATTAACCTTTCTGATGTTACAGTGTGTGTTATACAATACTCCAAAGAAGAAAGGGAGCTAAAACTCAGAAAAGAAAATAAAGAGTTCTTGCCAAATGAATCTCTCTCCTCTACAGATACCAGCCTATATTGCAGGGAGCTAGAAATGACCCTTTCATTCCATTTCAGTATAGAACTAGTAGTGTCAGATTTACTTTAAAAATGAAATCCCACTGGTTGGAGTGGAGGACTGATTACAACTGACATAATACCGGTTAGAAAGCTATTGTAGTAGTTAAAGCAAACGATGATAATGATGTGTAAGCCCAGACTTGGGTGATCTTGAAGTTAAAAGAATTTTGCAAATAAGAAAGAAATGTAGAAGACCAGTACTGGTGATTGGCTATATCATTTTAGTATTTATGTCAGTAGGTAAGGAATCAGAAAGTATTCAAATGCCTCCTAGATTTCTCGTTTTAAGCTGGAAAGTGGTATCTCTAGAGGAAGACTGAGTTTTCTTTTTTGTGTGTTTTAGGAAAGAGGACAAAGTGAGAAATAAGAGGTTAAATAAACAGTGTATGTAAAATGCCTTAAAAATTCCAAAGGGTTATACAGATGAAAGGGAGTGGTAAAGGTGGTGTGTCTCTAATGGAAGACACTGGGCTCTGTTTCAGAACGAAAGCTGCCTTGCTCCTATCAGCACATCCAGGAATCTCTGCCTTAGACATCATGCCTTTCACAGCAAAAGAAATCCTACCTGCTCCAGAACTCCTTCTTCCATGAGGAATCCTGTAAATTCCGAGGACATAACCATCTTTTGTCACAACATCGTACTTTTCATAAGGATAACCCCAGTAAGAAATAATTTGGCTCTGAAAAGAGGAAAGAAAAATATATATATTCATGATGCCATCTCTTGATTTCTATACCTGCACTGCAATATAGTACTTTAAGTCCCAGTCTACTCTTCCTCTGTGCATTGAGACAAAATAAAGCAGGAAAATCAGGACAGCTTGAGGAGGGCTTTAAAGAGGGATAGATAGAGCAAAGGCATCAGTGAGGCAAGGTTGGGTGACTGTACATTTTGGTTTGCTTGGCCTGGTATTATTAGTGCACCCTAGTTCATTCTCAAAAAAATTTTTACAAGAAATTATATGGTCGTAATGAGGGAAACCACAGATGATTGTACAGTACCCTATGCTAATAACAAGTGAGCTGTCACTGAACTTTTACCATAAAGAAGATGAAAGGAAGTGATTACCGGAACAGAACCAGACAGTCAGGTAGAGAGGACCGCATTGAGAGGAGCTGTGACCTTTAGCAGAGCGAGATGGCCTGTTTAGGGTGATCTCATGCAGTGGGCCAAGGCAATAACTCATGATTTCACTTTCCCCCTTCCTTCTGATCTCCTGCTCACTATTTCCACTGGATGAACTGAACCGAAAACCAAAGATCCAGGGAGCTTGTTGACCTAGTTCTTACAGGTCAGCCTCTTGGACAGAGAAAACAGTATAAAAGAATACAGAGTGGATCTAGAGGGGTAAACTAGAGATATCCCTACCTACAAGAAAGAGGGGAACTACTGTTTATTGCATAGAAGATGGTTTATACCTCTTGTTTTATTAATCTTAATAAATAGTTTTTAAGATAAAATTATACCCATTTTGCAGCTGAGAAAACTGAATTGCTGAAATATTAACAATCTGTCTGAGATTGTACAAGTAGGCAAAGATAAAGATCCAATTAAGGCCACAGTCACTTTAGCTCAAAAGCATGCCCTTACCGCAAGATTATGTATTTGACCATGCCAGGCACACAAGAGGTGCGTACACATTATGGGACCATAGGAAACAGTGGTTATGCACACAGAGTCTAGAGACTCACAGTATGACACTGAATGCCCACTCTTCCTCCTGCTAGCTATGGAGCTTTTGGAAAGTTACTTAACCTTCTTCTGCCTCATTTCCCTCAACTCTGAGACAAAGATAAAATGGTAGCTCTTCACAGATTTGTTGTGAGAATTATACATAAAGAGTCTGGAAGAGTGCCTGGCAGAATCTAAGTGATCCATAATGTTTATTATTCTTTTTTTCTCCTCATCCAAGAACATACTTATTCATTTTAGAGAGAGGGGAAGGAAGGGAGAGAGAGGAAGAGAAATATCTATGTGAGAGAAGCTGATTGGCTGCTTCTAGTAGCACCCTGAACAGACTAAACCTGCAACCGAGGCGTACTCCCTGACTGGGAATTGAACCTGTGATCTTTTGGTCTATGTGACAATGCTCCAAACAAACAAGCCACACTAGCCAGGGCTAATGTTTATTTTTCTTATGATCATTATAGAATAATTTAGAGCCAAAAAGCATTCAGACCAGAAAGAATAAAATGTATGTGAATATGGGAGGAAAAGGAGAATCTGGATTGAGGACATATATTTATAGACTGTGAGTTCAGCAGTGTGGTAGAAGTTTAGGGGTATTTGCTGGATGCATTGGAATGAGAAACAAGACGCTAATTATAAAACGTTGACAATTCCATTCTTAAAGTTCTAATTTAAACAGGTGCGGCAAGCACATCAGTGGTGTACAATGTCCGCAGGAGTATGGAGTATCCCATTAGAACTAAGTCTACAGTGGATATTGGTCATTTGCCTTTCTGCTCCCTCCCTTCCTTCCCTCTTTATTTCTCTCACAGCACTGTTCCGTTCTATCACTCTATTTCATTCATACCCACTTCTGGTATGGATTCCTGCATGTTAAAATACTTTTGGTTAATAGCAAACCAAAGCCAGTATACTAAGCTAAAAGAGTACACTGACAGAGCTCAGAAATCACAGAAGCTGCTCGAGAAACAAAACCTCAGGAAGAATGCAAGGATACACCATAGTATGAACTCACAAACATTTTCTTCAGTAAGCCACTGTGAGATGGTAGCTCAACTACCGGGAGAGGGAGTATTAACTCCCTCAACTTGAATCAGGTCTTTCAACCCTTGAATTAGTCATGTCAAGGAACAGGGGAGGAGGCACAGATTCTGTCAATTTAGAATTGTTGAAAAGTAGGCAAGCGCATCAACTGTGTCTAAAAAATGATGACTGAATAAATCCTTATCTTAATTTTGTTCCTTAATGGATGACTTACAATATTCATATTAGCTTCAGGATTTGTGGTGCTGCCTTTTTTGTGATAACCGTATAGAGGTCCAAGAAGAAGCATCCAGCATGCTGCTGCTAAAAGCTGCCACATTTGGGGTCTGCCTAGGAAGGAAATATTAATATTTTTGTCATCAAAGAGAATTCTAAATGTGAAGTATGGTGTAATATTCTATAACGGTACTGTGGGAGTGAGGACAAACACACTTCTAGTTGGGCTTTAACAAGCAATATACTTAATTATTCAAGACTCATCCCATTAAAAATCTAAATGGCAACTTTTCAGTAGAAAGAAAGAAGAAAGTGTCAATTAACTGTCCAGTAGGTAATTGGACAAAATAAGGAAATGTACGATTTGCAGGAAAAGAAATATAATGGCCAATATATTAATCAAAGTAGATTTAATAACTCTAGTTATGGATAAATTAATATTTTCCCTCTGATTTTGGGAGTAAGCACTGGCACAGCCTTAATGGAAAGAAACTTTTTAGCATGTCTTAAAAATTTAAAAATATTTGTACCTTTCACTCAATCATTCTATTTTCAGGAGTCTATCCAAAAGAAATATAACATATGTAGGGAACATGTATAAAATTAATTCTTATACCTTAGAATAGTGAAATTTACCAAAATAAGAGATTGACAAAATAAATTATGGGTGAGG